ACCGTGTGAGCTTCTGTTAAAACAGTGCTAAGGGATAACATTGAAGTCTGTGGAGTCTTCCTAGTTAAGGAAGACTCTGATGTGCCTTGTAGAGAAATTACCTATTAGATAATAAATCAGACAGAATTACAGATCATTTTCATGAATTGTACGACAACTTTGTTAGCATGTTGATTTTTACTAAATATTGGTCTCAAGATAGTAATATTCCAAATCTTATATACTTTATTGTTAAAATGGACAAAAACATTAAAAATTCACATAAAAATTCTATAACTTAGAGAGCCAAAACAACAGTGCAAAAGAATAACATATGAGGCCAACTGTCCACGATCCCAGAGTTATTCTAAAGCTACAGGAAGATAGTATTGCCATAATAGTAAACAAATTGATGGAACAGAGTGTTTCGGAGATAAAGCCATTCATTGACAAAGTCATTAGAGTAGAGGATATAGAACCACAGATGGCACCAGAACTCGAAATAGCTGTGAACTTAAATGTAATACTTCTAGAAACTGAGGCCAATTAGATAATAAGTTCCAAAATACAACGCAAAAAATGTGATCTATAAAAGAACAAATTGATAAGTTGTTGTTGATCAATAACATACTTGGCTTCTTTCTGGTTCTTGCTGTTCAGATTCTCACCATACATCTTATGTAAGTCTCCCTTGCTCTTCATATATGTGTTACTCCCTTCAAAATGATAGGTACAATTGACATTTTCATCAACAGTGTACCCCTAAATACTATTAGTTTCTGTTGGCAACCCAGTCTTAGTTACTATTCTATTACTGTGAAGAGACATCATGACTTATAAAAGCAGCATTTTAATTCTTTTGGAGTTTATGTTTAAGACATGAACTTACTGTTTTTCGTAGTGGATAGATATAAATTAGTTTAGTATCTAAGTAGCCCGTCAGTGATCGTTGCTTGGACAGCCTTAAATGTAAGGCTCATTTTGAACTTTAAAGTTCACTTTACTAACTCTGAACAGAGCCACATTTTCTCTAGAGAACAAAAGTCTCTGAGAGGCAAATTACTTTGTTCTTGGATTCTAAAAATGATTTTATTTTTATTTTTGCCTTTAAAAGGTTTTTTTCTTTCTTGCACCCTATGATGGGTTCCCTCTAGTAGCAGAGAATGGGAGGAGCAGGGTCTGGAAGGAGACTCTGGGGTGGAAAAGCTGCAGTTAGCAGGAGTAGGTAGACTGCTTCGTCAGCGGTAGCTCCGATGGGCATGACATGGTAGGCTTCTGCTGCTGTGAGTGCTCACCTAGGGAACACTTGCTGCCCTAGTTCCATCTCCTGTTTCAAATCTCCCAATCCTTAAAACATGTTTTTAACCTTTTATTCTATGTCTATTGCTGTTTTGCCTGTGCAGCACATGTGTGTAATGCTAGTGGAGGCCAGAAGAGGGCATCAGATTCCCCTGGGGCTGAATTTACAGCAAGTTGTGAGTCATCTTGTAAGTGCTGGGAATTGAACCCTGGTTCCTGGTCCAGTGCTTTTAACCACCACATCATCTCTCCAGTTCCCATCCGTTTGCATTCTTCTCGTGATCCACTTGATTTGTCTGATGTACTGGTACCAGATATGGCCATGTGCAAGGGCTCTGCTACTGAGCTGTGCCTCTGCTTTTCTTGCTCTTTCCCTTTTGGAGGCCAGGTCTCACTGTGTAGCTCAGTCTATATGTGGACTTGACCTTTACCTCCTCTTCCCGAATGCTGCAATTACAGATGTCCAACTCTAAGTTTGGGATTTTGTATACTTTCATTTGTCTCTTTGAAAAGCTTCAGCTGACTTTCTCTTGTCTTCTGATTTTGATGAGATCTCGTTTTCTTTAACTAATGTAATTAGTCTTTCAAAACCCATCTTTCCACATCCTCTGTGCTTCAGGAGCCCCTGTAACAGCCTTGTCATGGTGCCCACCCCGCTGCCTTTGTAGTTCCTGTTTCTCCCACCAGACATCTCTGTGGAGACAGTCTGCCTAAATGTTGGAAACTTTACTGTTGTAGTTTGTAGAGTCAGCACTCAGGAGGCTTAGGGTTGTTGAGAAAATGTAGTATATCTAGAACACGGTATATTTATATCTTCTTTCATATATATTTTTCTTGTAATGTTTTATACATATGCTTTATAAATATTTTATTAAAGTTATTGTGTTACATGTAAATGAAATTCATATCAATTAAGTTAGAATATTCCATTATGTAGATAAGAGAAGCTAAGTAAGTATAATTTATATGATAGTTGAAGAGTTTTCAGTGGAGGGGTATTTAAGGCATTCTAATGACCCAAAGGGAAAATAGTAATTGAGTATCAAGGATATGAGTATCAAAGGATAGTAAACAAATATATTTGTATGTGTAAAATCAGTTAATCCTGACAGAACATTTTGATTTAGAAAGCCATGAAAAATTTTATAAAACTATTATCAATAGTTTTAATAAATGATTTCAACTAATTTATAATTATTAGTAAAAATATTTAATTACTGTTAATAGTGTCTTATGCTTCCTTATGTACCACCATCCAATGAGAACGAGCAGCTTACTGGGTTTACTGGATGGAAAGTAAGACTTTATTACTTTCTCAAAGTCATGATATATGAGCGACTGATATCTGAAACAGGCTTTGAACTGTTAATGGATCAGTGGCTCTCTCCAAATGACAGTCTTATATTGTGAAGTCTGTCACTGTTAATCTTATTTAAAAGAGACTGTTATTATTCTAGGCACTCAAATCCCATGAAGCACATTTCAAAATATATTAGTAGTAGCCTCTTTAAAAAAAACATATAATACAGTGGTACGCAGCGGTACACAACTTTTATGCCAGCACTCGGGAGGGAGAGGCAGGTGCATCTCTTTGAGTTCAAGTCAGTCCTGGTGTATTTAGTGAGTTCAGGCCCACCATAGCTATGGTAGCAAGGAATTAAAATTGTTTAAAGCATCAGACCATCCAGTTTTCTATAGTGAGCTGCACTGAAGATGCATTTTATTTTATTTTATTTTGGTTTTTCGAGACAGGGTTTCTCTGTAGCTTTGGAGCCTGTCCTGCAGCTAGCTCTTGTAGACCAGGCTGGTCTTGAACTCACAGAGGTCCTCCTGCTTCTGCCTCTCGAGTGCTGGGATTAAAGGTGTGCACCACCACCACTCGGCCAAAGATGCATTTTATAAAGTGCTTTCTTGCCTGATACACAGTGAATTACACAGAAGGTGGGTTTTCCCAAACCTGTCAGAACTTTTATCTATTTTGACTCTTCTAAGATAAAAATGTTTTGTTTTCGCTTGCCAGATACTCAGAATGGCGTACTCAGGTCAGTCCTGAGCTGTGTCAGCTCTGCAGGTTGTTGGCTTAGGTTCGTCTTGTTGCTTTACTGACCACCTACGAAGTTTTCTTAAGAAACCATTTTTTAACCATAGTATTCATGATAAGGCATTATACCATCTTATTGTACCTACTAACGTTACAGATCTGAAAGAGTCTTGTTTTGTATAGTAAACCTCAGTCTAAGTTTGTAGATGAGGTTGCTAAGTTGGCCTCTTTCTTTATGTATTCTCCACGCATTATTACCGCTTCAGCAGATTCAGCAGGGATGTGCTTGCATGTGTGATGCTTAGATCTTGAAATTTTTTGGCCTTGATAAATGGGAGATGAAATAAAAACTAAACAAATTAAATGTGTCTGTAGATGAGGTAAAGGAAAACGGGATGAAATAATTGACTCTGCACTGAGCAGACATTTTAAAGCTGTAGTAATATGTGAACATAGGAAGGATATTTGCGCACTCATTCTGAGAGCCATTTGGCTTTTCAGAGAGTGAATAATGCAACTACAGAATGTCTCAGTATATGGTGGATAACATCTTACTACAGTAGCACCATGGAAATTCTGTATTTGTTAAAAGATGCCAGTTAAAATCCCAACATAACAAAGAGAGAAGACAATATTTGAAAAAAACATATTTATTATAATGCTGTCAATGTGAATGAAAAACCAAATATATGGAGACTACTTACTTATGACTACAGATATATTTGCAAATGTAGTTAACACTAACCTGGAAGAGTACATTCTAAATTCATCTTGGTAATCTTTGGAGAAGATTAAAGGAACCCTATGAAAATGAAGTACTCTTAGTAATTTTTTTTAAAAAATGTTTATAGCCGGGCGGTGGTGGCGCACGCCTTTAATCCCAGCACTCGGGAGGCAGAGGCAGGCGGATCTCTGTGAGTTCGAGGCCAGCCTGGTCTACAAGAGCTAATTCCAGGACAGGCACCAAAAACTACAGAGAAACCCTGTCTCAAAAATCAAAAAAAATGTTTATAATTATAAAATAGTGTTCAAAACAAATGTAGAAAATGTTAACAGTTTTAGTGGTGGGTGTTATATGTAAGCATTTAATTTTATTTTCCTACCTTTTTTGTTCTTTTTGATACAGCATTGACTGTTTGAAAAAAGGTAGACAGATATTTGGCTAGGGCTATCGCGTAGTTGAAAGAGCCCTGGGTTCAGTTCCCACATGAGACTGGATGTGGTGTTCGTGCCTAGGATCCCAGCACTGGGCATCCTTGTCTACATAGTGAGTTTGAGTTCAGACAAAATGTACTTTTGTAGTAATAAGAATCAAAAAACTTACCTGATGATGGTAAAAGTTTTTTTGAGAGAAAAAGAAAAGTTATAATAATATATTAAAAGCTATTTTATAATCTTTAAGTATTATGGTGGTATTATATGTACATAGAGAATAACTTAGGTAAGAAAAATAAACCCTTGTTTATTGTTGAAGATTTGCTACATTAGTCTATTGCATGTGATAGAAGACATTACACGATATAAAGTAATTTAGCAGTCTGACTTTAATCTAAAAAAGTCAACGCTAGTTTTTCTTCCCTTTTTAAAAGTCATTTTTGACAAACACTTTATAGCCTTTTTATTTGCAGCTTCTCTCCACGATAAAATGGCAAACCCCAAAGAGAAAACTCCAATGTGTCTGGTAAATGAGTTAGCCCGTTTCCATAGCATCCAACCCCAGTATAAGCTTCTGAGTGAGAGCGGGCCTGCTCATTCCAAGGTAAGGTCATAAAGAGACGACGGCCGTGCTAACCGACTGTCAGACTCCGTCTGTCAGCTGTGGACTGTGCTCTATTTGGGGGTGTGTGTGGATGGCCTGAAGACACTTAAGTCTTAAGCAAGTTGTAATGTGTTATGTTTTGTAAAACTCTCAGATGTAGTACATCACAAGAAAACCTGGAAGCCATAAGATTTTTAACATTTTGTAATTGAAGGCTCTCAGTTAAAAAAATGTTAAGTGCTTTGCTTAGGAGCTCATACCAGCACCAGCACTTCCGCATGGAGTATAATGTTCCCTGGTAAATCAGGCTCGTACAAGTAGGATGGACAGAGTGGGTATTGCAGTGCTTAAATTTGGTACATCTTTTCTGATGTGATGCTTAATTTTTAAGGTTCATAGCTATAAAAGAAACTGTAAGTTGTGTGTACCAGTATTATTATTATCTTTGCATTTGCTTACAATGATGTCCTTTTAAAACAAAGGCAGCTTATATTTGTAACTACAAGTGCATAAATTTACATATAAAACAAAGAAATCTACAACTAATGCATCCATATTTGAGCTCTGTTCTTTTGGAAAACATTTCAGTTGTGCACTGAACATTCAGTTTTACCTGACACACTTTAAATATTGGGTATTTTGATAGTCATAGACTTGTACATAATATGGAAACAGTTGGTTCTAAAAGAGTTGGTTAGTCTTTAAAGCAAGTGGCAGTTGGGTTATTTGGATGTTTTCTGTCTTCTACTAACCAAGGAAAATAGGGGAAACTGCAGTCTGTTGGGTTTGTTTGCTTTTCTGGAGGTGCTGCAGACAATGTTGGAATTCCCATCATCTCTTGTTCTGTGTTAGCAGAGAAGGTAGTTGTGGTCCTCTTCTGTCTGCCCAGCCATATAGCCCCACCCTTTCTATGCATTCTGTTCTTAGTCGTGCCAGACTCTTTGCATTCTTTAGAATAGTTATGGGATTTTCATGTCTCTTTACTTTTTCCTAAATGACAACATTATAGTCTTTCTGCCTTCATTTTTTTCTTCTGTCTCTGTCTGTAGGTAAAGATTGCTCTTTCGTTTCCTGACTGCTCAGACCCGAATAATCACATAGAAACTATATTAATTACAACACTGTTTGGCCAATAGCTTAGGCATATTTCTAGCTAACTGTTACATCTTTAGTTAACCCATTTCTATTAATCTGTGTATTGCCACAAGGGTGTGGCCTTCCTTGGTGTCTTTCTCTTTTGGCAGCTATGTGGAATCTCCCTGACTCTGCCTACTTTCTTTCTTTATCTCTGTTTGGATTTCCTGCCTGGCTTTACTCGACTAAGCCATTGGCTGAAAGAGCTTCTTTAATAACCAATGGCAATAAAACATATTCATAACATACAGAGTAGAATCCCACATCATCTGTTTGTCTGTCTGTCTTTTGCCATCCCTTCAGCGTCAATTTCCCTGCCTTCTGCTTCTTTCTCTCCTCTGTCAGCAGTTTCTTCTTCCAGTGGTTCATCCCCCATCAACATAAGGCATGTTTTAAGACAGTTTTTCTGTCTTAAATAACCTGACAGCATGTCTCCCTGTGTGTCTCTTTTCTTCCTGTATGGCAGGACTCCAGGAAAAAGCCATACTGGCTGTATATAGTTCCCTCCTAGTCAGTTTTGTTCCTACCACCCCAACAATCAGAACCAGTCAGTGAAGTAGCAGCTTCCCTGTCAGCACCTGAGTACTCCCAGATTTGCCTTCCTCTCAGCTGTACTTGGGACAGGGGAGTGTGTGCACCTCCTTGTTGGAAATGCTCTTTTGGCTTTCAGGACATGGTACCCTCTGCTTTTTCTGTTGTTCTTCTACCACATGTATATATATATATAATATATTTTAGTTTTTGTTTCTTTGGTTGTTTGTTTGTTGAGGTGTCTTGCTGTATTCTAGTCCAGGCTGGCTCAGATCACTGTCCTCATGCCTCATCCTCCTGAGGGCAGGTTTGCACGCTTACACCATCATTCCTGACTCATTGGCTACATTTTAAAAGTTGATTCCATTTTTATCTCAGATCCCATAGATCTTTTCAGTTTGTATAGCCACATTTGCAGACCTGGTCTCTTCTCTCCTGACTGTACATCTTTGCTTTGTGCCTTTGGATGACGTAAATATGCTGTCAGCTTTCCCATTTAGTCCCTGTTAGCTTTCAAACCTGGGACAAATGACTGACTTAGGTGACTACGGAACACATCAAAGCAGATCTGACCACCAGATTCTCCCAGCATCTTCAGTTCCTACCTGTTACAGGGCCTTCCTGACTGGCATACCTCACTTTCTACCCTAAATTCTCCAGCCCAGGAGCTAGGTTGCCCTTCCTCCAACTGCCCTTTCCTACATAATCCAACTGTTTTGGATTATATTGTATTACCTGGCTTTTTCTTTTACTTTCTCTTTTGGGTCACCTGGGTGCTGTACCCAGTTCCCCTCTGTGGTGGTTTGAAAGAAAATGGCCCCCAAAGGGAGTAGCATTATTAGGAGGTGTGGCCCTGTTGGAGGAAGTGTGTCTCTGTGGAGGTTGGCTTTGAGGTCTCATATATGTTCAAGCCATGTCTAGTATCTCAGTTCATTTCCTGTTGTCTTTGGATCAAGATGTAAAATTCTCAGCTCCCTCTTGGGAAACATGTTTGCCTGCACACTACCATGTCTTGCCATGATGATAGTGGACTAAACCTCTGAAACTGTGAGTGAGCCATCTCAATTAAATGTTTTCCTTTATAAGAGTTGCCATGGTCGTGGTGTCTCTTCACAACAATAGAAACCCTAACTAAAACATTGTCTTTTCCCCCTCTTCCTTGCTTTCCCTGTCTCCTCACATGTCAGGGTCATGTTCACTTTGGACTCTCCCAGATGCCCCTGCCTCTGAATATGCTCTCCTGTATATCTATAATAACTTTTCTCTTCCGCCATTCCTAGGAGCTGTCATGCCCTTCTTTCCTTCCTTCCTTCCTTCCTTCCTTCCTTCCTTCCTTCCTTCCTTCTCCCCTTCGTCTCCTCTTCCACCCTCCCTTCTCCCCCTACTCCCATGCTCCCAGTTTTGTCAGGAGATCTTGTCTGTTTCCCCTTCCCAGGGGCATCTATCTATATGTGTTTCTCTTAGTGTTCACTTTGTTGCTTAGCTTCTCTAGGGTCGTGGACTATAGGCTCATTATCCTTTGCTTTATAGCTAGTGTCCATCTATGAATGAGTATATTCTTCTGGGTCTGGGTTACCTCACTTAGGATGGTTTTTCCTCGTTCTATCCATTTGAATGCAAATTTGAAAATATTGTTTTTTACCTCTGAGTAGTGCTCCATTGTGTAAATGTACCACATTTTCTTTATCCATTCTTTCTTTGAGGGGTATCTGGGTTGTTTCCACGTTCTGGCTATTACAAATAATGCTGCTATAACCATAGTTAAACAAATGTCCTTGTAGTATGTATGGTTGAGCATCCTTTGTGTATATGCCCAAGAGTGGTATTGCTGGGTCTTTCGGTAGGTTGATTCCCAATTTTCTGAGAAACTGCCATACTAATTTCCAGAGTGGTTGTACAAGTGTGCATTCCCACCAGCAATGGAAGAGTGTTCCCCTTACTCTACATCCTCTCCAACATAAGCTATCATTGGTGTTTTTGTTCTTAGCCATTCTGACAATTAAAGGATGGTATATCAGAGTCATTTTGATTTGCATTTCCCTGATGGCTAAGGATGTTGAACATTTCTTTAAGTGTCTTCCAGCCATTTGAAATTCTTCTGTTGAGAATTCTCTGTTTAGATCTGTATATCATTTTTCAATTGGATTATTTGATATTTTGATGTCTAGTTTCTTGAGTTCTTTATATAGTTTGGAGATCAGTCCTCTCTCTGATATGGGGTTGATGAAGGTCTTTTCCCATTCAGTAGGCTGCCTTTTTGTCTTACTGACTGTGTCCTTTGCTTTACAGAAACTTCTCAATTTCAGGAGGTCCCATTTATTTATTGTTGTTTTCAGTATCTGTGCTACTGGGGTTATATTTAGGAAGTGGTCTCCTGTGCCCATGCATTGAAAGTTACTTCCCACTTTTTTGTCTATCTGGTTTAGTGTGGTTGGATTTATATTGAGGTCTTTAATCCAATTGAACTTTAGTATTGCACATGGGGAGAGATGTAGATCTATTTTCATTCTTCTACATGTTGACATTCAGTTATGCTAGCACCATTTGTTGAAGATGCTTTATTTTTTCTGTTCTATAATTTTAGCTTCTTTGTCAAAAATCAGGTGTTCATAGGTGTGCAGATTAATATCCAGGTCTTCAATTCGATTCCATTGGTCAACCTGCCTAATTTTATGCCAACACCAAGCTGTTTTCATTACTGTAGTTCTGTATGGTGATGACTCTGGAAGTTTCTTTATTGTACAGGATTGTTTTAGCTATCCTGGATTTTTTGTTTTTCCATATGAAGTTGAATGTTGTTCTTTCAAGGTCTGTGAAGAATTGTGTTGTGATTTTGATGGGGATTGCATTGAATGTATAGATTGCTTTTGGTAGGATTGCCATTTCTGTTATGTTGATCCTACCTATCCAAGAGCGTGGGAGATCTTTCTATTTTCTATCATTGATGTGGGAAGTCCTTCTGTATATGTGTTGCTTTTATTGGTTAATGAATAAAGAAGGTGCTTTGGCCTGTGATAGGGTAGAGTAGAGCTAAGCGGAAAACCTAAACTAAATGCTAGGAGAAAGAACATGTAGTCAGTGAGAAGACTTGTGGCCGCTTGGAAGAAACATACATGCCAGTAAACCATGAGTCTCATGATAAAATATAAAATAATAGAAATAAGTTAACTTAAGCTATAAGAGCTAGCTAGCAATATGCTTAAGTAATTGGCCTAGCAGTGATTTAAATAATATAGTTTCTGAGTGATTATTTAATGGTCTGGTAAGCTGGGAAGGAATGAGCGACCTCCACCTACATGGGTATCTTCTTCAATTTTTTTTTCAAAAACTTAAAG